CTATTTGGCCTTGATGATTGGATTATTATTGGGCCATCTAAAGTGAAGTAATTAGACTAGAATAATTAATAGGCTTTAAGGTAAGGCCCGTACGAGGAGTGGGCCCAATTTTCCATGTGTTGGGCTTTGATTCCTAATTGACTTTAGGTCTAAGAATTGGGCCTTGGGCTTGGATAAGCCACGCTAGGGGTAAAGTAGTAATTACCCAGAGAATGTACTTATGGTTATGTAGTGGGATCCAATTATTAAGTGGGTGATGTTTTGATATCGACAGATCGGGAATCTGTCATCCAACAGCTAGGGTTGAGTCTGCAGGACTTCAGAAGTGTGGGATTAAGTCTGCGGGACTTCAACAGTGTCAGGTGAGTGTTCTCACTATACTTTACCAGGCATGGTAACTAGGTGTGACCGTAGGGTCTTATGTGTATGAATGAATTATGAGATTTTATGTAATATGTGACCGAAAGGTCTTATATAATTGTATGAGTTATGTGACTTATGTGATATGTGACCAGAAGGTCTTATATATATTTGTATGAGCTATGTGACTTATTTGATATGTATATGTTGTATGATTTGGGACCGGATGGTCGACAAAGATATGGCCGGAAGGCAATCAGAGTTAAGGCCGGAAGGCGATTAGAGTTGAGGCAGGAAGGCAAGCCATGGTAGGGTTGGAAGGTCTACCAAAGTTGTGGGACCGGAGGGTCCCGCTGAGACACATTGACCGGAAGGTCTTACAAAGCTATAGCCTCGAGTGGCTAATATGTTTATGTGATATTTTGGGAAACTCACTAAGCATGCGTGCTTACCATGTTATGTGTTATGTGTTTCAGGTACATTGTCTCAAAGGAAAGGAGCCAGCTTGGTCGCAGCGCATCACACTATGTTTTCCGCACACGGGATCCTTGGGATTACACGCTGATATGGTTTTATGATACTTTGTTTGATTAATGACACTTTAGTTTTTGATATGAGATATTATTATGAAAGTTTCTATATTAATCGCTTTTATGCAATAACTTAATTAAAAATGAAATTTTTGGCCTTGAGTTTTAGGATGTTACAATTTAATCTTTTTAAAATGCTATTTTTTTAGTAATCGTAAACCTCTAAAATATTTTCTTTAGGACTCCATTCAATCTCTTAGTCGTTCTTTTGGATTAAAACGAAAGTTTCTAAGTTAGTGTCAAGTGTCAAGTGTCAAGTGGTTAGATCGGATGAAATGTCCTTCCCTTGGTATTCTTATTATGTAATTTCTAGCTTTTGCTAGTTTTAATGTTAATGCTCCGGTCTAAAAAAAAAATCCTACATGGAACTCAATTTTGAACTAATATTTCACAACAAGGAATGAAGGCAATAGGGACGACACATCTCGTCACTAAAGCCCTAGAAAATCGTCTCTAAAGCCTTTAGGGACAACATACTAATACGTCGTCCCTATCGTCGCATGGCTATTGCTCATGAATCGTCACTAATGTCAATGTCGCCTCTATTGGTGTTACCCATATTGATATATGTCGCCCCTATTAGTGTCGCCTCTATTTCTCATTAATTTTTTTAATAAAAAATTATCGACTGTAAGATTACCCTATGACCAACTTCTTCATCTTGATGGGTCTTATACAAACAATCCTATGTGTGCATGCAACCCTAGTATTGGATCTATGTTTTCACTATTAGTTATATAACTTTATGAACACAAAAAGAAACCTGGCATGCTACTATAATTTTCGAAATTCATATATAAAGCTAGAATACATACCTTTTGTTGTTATATAGCAATAACAACTAGTTCCTTGAATTTCCTTAGCTCTTGAAAGCAAGTACCACAAGTGTAGTACCTCTAATGGAGTCACAAACACCATATACAACTTGGATGAAGAGGAGAAGTAAGGAGGCTGCCCAAAAACGACTAGAAACCCTAGAGAATCAGTTGTCCACGTTTTTGGGGCCTAAGGGGTCCTTTATATACTTGTGTGGGCTGCTAGGGTTTCAGTCAAAACCCTAATGGACAGCTTAAACTCTAAGCAGCCCATGGAACCTTCTGGACAAGGCTATGGATGAAAATATGATGGGCTTCCATCATAATTTCGTTCACCCCTTATTCCTTTAGCATTCCTTAGCCCAATAACTCAATTATCCAATAATTGCAGTCCAGTTCCCTATATTTAATTAATCTCTTTTAGTCACAAAATTAATTATTGACTAATATTAATTAAACAATATGATTTCTCCTTTAATATATTATTCTCATAATATATTAATAAATCATATTTAAACCTTTCTCTCCTTAAATCATCCTACATATTGCTATGGTGAAGGCAACCCAAAAGGACCATGCTCATAATCGGGTCAAGTACATACCAAAATAGTTATGGACTTAGACACTAATCCAACACATCTTTCATGGAGTTCGTCATTTTTCTATATCTATTCCTTAAAAAGGTTCAAGATTACAAAATAAGGACCAAATAAAAGAAATAACAAACACAAAGTAAAGAAAAGAAATTATTGACATCATGCTTACAATGTTTACATCCATTTTTATATCTAAAAAATCTACAAAAATTATTAACTTCAACATTATAAAAAATTCTATTATTTTAACTCTCTAGCAATCCCTTTCTCTACAACTTTCTATCTCTCCATTTCATAAATTAAAACCCAGTGAAGGCGGTGCTAGAAGGTGGTTGATATCGATTAACGATGAAGATGTTGTTTGATGATGGTTGATAGCGGAGAATGGTGGAAGATGGGTATAGTTGTGGGTTTTCTGTTGGTGCTTGATGGTGGAAAATAGTGGCAAATTATGAGGTTTTGCATGAATAAGGTGGTTCTAGTGGTGGTGGATGGTGGCCAAGGTTAGTGATGGTAGTGGTTGTAGTTAAGGTTTTTGAGAGATGTGAGAGAATACGAGAGAGAGAGAGAGAGAGAGAGAGAGAGTATGGTGGTAGATGGTATCTAAGGTTGGCTTATCAGATCACGAGAACATAAGCTCGACCATTGGATTGTTTACAAGATGGAGGGTCCGGATTACACAAGAAGAGAGCACACGGATCGTGAGCAATAGTGGCGACACTATTAGTGACGACAAGAATATTAGAGGCGACATTTGCAAAGCATTAGCGACGATATGAAAAATATGAGGGGAAAATACCGCGGTCTTTTTTCGTCGGCATTAGTGATGACACCAAAAGGGGCGACAATAGGCATTAGTGACGACATTCCTTGGTGTCGCGACTAATGTCTGCATCGTCCCTATTGGTATCGTCACTAATGCCCTGATTTCTTGTAGTGTATGTATCCTTATATCAGGAAACTAGTATAATAATAATTATTATATAACAACAAAATAATAAATCTTTATCACCACAAATTGAAACCTAATTCACCAGATAAGGTTACTATCATACCGTTTTTTATTTTATTTTTTTCATTCGAAATTACAATTTGAATGGTAGGACAATCACATTATATCAGCAACTATTTATGCATACTTTATTAACCAAAAAATGCAATAACTATTTATCCCTAATAATTAACACCTGAATGGATTCGAAATTTTTGAATAGATGTCAATCCCATTATATTAGCAACCATTTATTTAAATTTTATTAAACAAAAATTAAATAATTATATTAACCATTTTAAAAATAGTGATAAACATCAAATTATATATTAAAATCAATATTCGCAAAATTATAATTAATGATTGTATCTTTTTTATGTCGTTTTAATTAACTTGAACCTGCATACTTAATATTGGTCAAACATAACCCATTTATGCCTTTTCCTTAATATGGACTATTTAAGGATTTTTTTTTTTTTTGACATGGACTCTATCTATTCATTTTTAAAATACATACCATTTATATGTGTTTTATACATACACAATTTCTATTAAATTTTTTACATATTGATTATTTCTGTTAACAATTTTTTTTTTGGTCTTGCCACATGTAAATTGTTTTTGCATGAAATGATAACTTACTATAATTACATTTTTTGATTTTGTGTCACTTGGTTTGCTTTCTTATGTGAAAGGGGAATTTTTGGGTTTCAAGTGATCACTTGCTTTGATTTAATTTGACCATGAAAGGAAAATATCATTTGATCTTTTTGGCTAGCTTCCTATATCCTTTTATACATGGTTAGGTGTGAAACTATATTACATGGATTTAATTAAAAAAAATAAATATAAAATTTTAACAATTTGAAAAGTTTGAATTTATAAGAAAAATGAGAATTTTAAATTATTAAAATTAATGAGATTTTATTGTATTGAATATATTACATATATAAAATTTTCTAATAAATAATTTACATATATATTACCTTACACATTAAATGTGAAATTTTAATTTAATAAAATGAAAAATACAATAAAATGACAAGTGAAAAATAGAAAATTTAAAAATTCTAGAAAATATCATGTATCCAATTGAATGAGAAGATGACATGTGATAAAAAAAAACCTTCATTTATTATAGTAGATGTGTGAAAGGGAAATGATTTACGTTGTTATTAAATATTTGTCATGGTTTTGGATCAAAACCAATATATTAGAAATCATTTTTATCAAACGAACATATTTCACCAATATATTTGAAATAATTTTTCTCAAACGAACATATTTCATATTTCTACCAAATGTTTTAAAAAATAACCTACTTTTATAAAGTAAAATAAAATAAACTCTGGAAGTCATCCTTGTGCATTTCGCTTGCGGATATAGTCCCTCCAACAAAAATTCAAGTCTTAAAATATATTTGGATCAAACTTGCAACTTATAGTAAACTACACTCGCCAATTTCTACAATAATTTACAAATTAAAGGACTGGATTAGGAATTAGACCAAACTTGTACGTAACCGGTACGTAATTTCTTGAGTATATATATCCACAGTACTTGTGATAGATCGAAGTGAATCAAGTGATTAACTGTGGGAAAATATTAATTACTTGAATCGCAAGCAACCCATCAAACCCTTTCCTGCATGGACGAACACCAGAAAATAGTCGACGTAATGGATCAACAGCAACTCATGCACAACCAGTTTGAGAGTCATCAACAACAACAGAATCTGCTGCTCATGCAATCTCATGAAATTGAATGTATCATCGCTGAACGACAACGACAATGGCAAGAAACCATCGATCCTCAAAATCTTGTTGTCGGCAAAGTTATCGGTCATGGAAGTGAAGGTGTTGTGTATAAGGGCTCCTACAAAGGCCAAACTGTAGCAGGTAAGTACTTGGTTCATGAGTACTTCTCTTGTGTATATTCTCTTTCACGATTTTAATTAATGGCGTTTCATGTCTTGTTTTAGATATTTGATTAATTGTTTGTTTGCGTTATTCAGTGAAAGTTCTTGATGATAATGGTAAAAAGAAGATTTCGGAAGATTCAATGGGGATCGTTAAGTTAGGTTTAATGGAAGAAGTTGAAGTGTGGAAAAATCTTGATCATCCAAACGTAACTAAGGTAAGTTTGTTTTTTGATATATATAGTAATTAATTAGTACGTGATATATATATACAAATCTGCATAATGTATAACAAGAATTCGAATAGCATATATAGTCGAATACGATATATATACATGCATGCATTCATGCCTACTTAATTACACGCAATCATATATCATCATCTAATTATTCTTATAAACTATAAAAATTTCAGATGATCGGAGCAACCATGTCCATGATCACGTCAGGTAGCCGACACAAGATCAAGAACCCGAAACCTGAAAACAACTTTTGTGTGGTCTCCGAATACTTAAAAGGAGGATCCCTCCGATCTTATCTATTGAAGCTCAAGCACCAAGACAAGAAGCTGCCTTACAAAACTGTCATTCGATTTGCTATTGATATTGCTAAAGGGTACGTATATATGATTACTAATTAATATTCTTAATCTTTAACTTAAATTTTCGAAATCCAAATCGCTAAATATTATATATATATGTATGATCTTTTGTACAGGTTGAGTTACCTTCATTCTCAAAAAGTAATTCATCGTGATGTGAAGCCGGGGAACATGCTAATTGACAAAAAACAGACAATCAAACTTGCGGATTTCGGAGAATCAGAAATTGAACCACCAGAGCTTTTGATCACATGTGGTGAAAGGGGGACTCGCGGTTACATGGCTCCTGAGTTGGTAAGCAAACATCCACACGGGCGTAAATGCGACGTTTATAGTTTTGGGATATGCTTGTGGGAGATTTATTGTTGTGATACTGCTTATACGTATGATTTAGGGATTCTCACACCTGATATATACAAGGTACGTATATATACTTTTTTATATTTTTGTTTTGGGTAACAAATTAAGATGGAAATTAAAACGACGTTGTTTGATTACAGTATACGAGACCAAGCATACCGAGGCATTGTCCAAGATCGTTGGCTAAATTGATGGAACAATGTTGGGACATGGACCCCACAAAGAGACCGGAGATGAAAGAGGTGGTGGTTATATTAGAAGAAATTAAAAAATCACTAGAGTTGCTATCGAGGTGGAGACATCCAGAGGGATGGTTCAAGTTATTCAAGCTTAGAAGATGATATATTGTTACGTCTTTTACGGTGTTTTAGGGTCATAAACAATGATACTCTCTAGTTAGTGTTTATGTCACACTATGATAAGTAAGGGTTTATAGTCTACTAACTTTATATTGTACATGGGCGCTATACATCTTCATATTAAAGTTTCCATGATGGTGAATCTATCAACGGTCTTTTTTTATATTATACATGTTTAATAAAAAATATTTTACAATTAACTTTCTTGAGTGATTAGCTTCCATCTAAAGTTTTGTTTTGTGTTTCGTATCATCATCTATGTGAAATGTTTTATAAAGTCACGTCTAACTTTATGATTTTTACACATATGTTGTATTTTTTTTTTTTTGGCAAACGACATTTAATAATGTGCGAGTTATAAGAATAAAAAAACGATAAATTATATGAATACAATTATAAAATATTAATATGTCAAGTCTTTTTTTTCAAATATATAAAATACAATAAAACTATTATGTATATTATTTCATAAAAAATATGCTAAAAGTATCATATTTACATATAAGTATTACGAATCTTATATTTTATATAGGATATTAAAATAAACTACAATAGTATATCTATAAATTTAATTTTGTGAAAAGCGAATGTTCCTATAAGTTATTATACTCATGAGGTTCTATTTTTGTTTTTCTATAGATTTACAGTGACTTTTATCATGTTAGATCTAGAATCTCGGAATTCTTCGCTTGTATATTGAAATTGCTAAATTCTTGAAATCAAATTCATAAGTGTTTATAGCATATGGAGTGTTAAGTTATTCACCTATTCTCCAGAATTAATTAAGATTTAAGAAAATTCCTCATATTTTACCCATACAACAATTTCCCCCTTTTTATTTTAACTAATACACTTTGATCCTTCATTTTGATTATCAAACCTAGATTTAGTTAGACATTTTGCATATCTCTAAAGCCACTCCGGTGCTATTGCTTACAAACTTAATTATAAGTAGAGTCGTTTGGGGTAGATTTTTAATGCTTACAAATAAATTTTTGTTTAAATTTTCATATTTAATTATTTGTTTTATGAAACTCGTATAACATACGGATCTCACACCTAGTGTATATTATATCAGCTAAAAAGCCTTTAATTTTTTTATTTATAACATCCTACATAAGTTTCTTCTTATTATTTTGAAAAATCTACTTAACTACAACAATGTCATCTAAATACAAAACAATACTCACCGGTGTAACTTGGCAACGTTTTCAAAGTAAAATATCCTAATAAGAACAAAAAGAACTGACAGTACAATGCTATAAACAGATAAATTTTCAAACTACAATGGCTTAATAGGAAAAGAAATTTGAAAATACAATGTTGTATCCATGGATGTTCATAAATTATCTATATCCAAAATTTGCTTTAAGATTTTGGATTTGGATTTAGATTGTACTTCTATTGATTCTCGAGTATTCTAATAGAATATATACACTAAAGTCCCAATATTTTCAACTATTTGACAAGAAAGTCATAAACATTTTTTACAGTAAAGTCCTAACTACCGGTAATTTTCTATACGTTTACCATTTTTTTCCGGTTAGTCGGTAATTAGAATTTTACTGTTAAAAAAAATAAAGTTTATGACTTTCTTATGAAATTGTGAATTAGAATTTTACTGTCAAACAAAATAAAGTTTAGGATTTTATTGTCGAATCATTGAAAATATTAGGACTTTAGTGTATATATTTTTTTTGTTAGAAATTTAATGGTATGATAGTCTTTAAATCTTAAAAAACACACAAACAGATTTTCCCAACATCATCATCGATTATATCATTTGGAGATAAACAGACAGATGGTTTTCAACACTTACACAAAAATCCTCACTACAATAAACCTAATATACTCTCTATATTGCCACTCAACCTATTCTATAAGTAGAATGAAGAACAACAATGAAAATGTGAAATCCTAATTCTATATAGGAAGATAGAACTAAAGTGAGAAATCCAAATAGCGTGTTGGAAGAAAATAACTCGATCATTTGCTGCAAATGAACCAATTATAGCTTTAAGTATTCGGGTAAAGGGAGCTTCTCAACCCACGTGTCAACCCGAATACAAACATAAGAAATTATGCTGAAACCCTCAAGAATCAACCAAATCTACACAAACCACCCACAATACAATATTTAACAATATCAACTACAAATAAATTTACCTTTTCAACCCTGTAATAACAAAGAATGTCAAGTTTGTATTTACAACATATTTTTAACACCCCTCCTCAAACTTAAAATTCAAAAAATATTAATCACTACTTAAATGATTAATCAAACCAATTTCATTTACTAAAAAATTATGTTGAGCATTATTTAAAAACTTTGTCAAAATATCAACTCTTTGCTTTGAAGATTTTATTTTCTCAACTTTTAAAACCCCATTAGCAACTTTTTCTCTAACAAAATGCATGTCAACTTCAAAATGCTTTGTTTTCTTATGAAAAACTGGTTTCAAAGCAAGCTTTATAGCAGACTCATTATCACAATAACCTTTAATATGAGTTAAATCTTTAACGCCTACATCAAATAAAAGTTTCAAAATCCATATAATTTCACAGGTTACAGAACCCAAGGCTCTGTATTCACGGTAGATGACCTTGAAATAGTTGCTTGTTTCTTACTCTTCCAAGACACTAAAGAGTTACCAACATAAACAAAATAGCCAGTAACATACTTTCTAGAAGAAAGACATTTGACCCAATCAGCATCTACAAAACCCATTAAGTAAAATTTATTTGACTTAACTATAGAAATACCTTTTCCATGACTACCCTTTCAAATATCTAAGTAGCATGAATGCTATATCCAAATGAGATTTATGCGGTTTGTGCATGAATTGACTGAGAATTTGCACACAATATGATATATCAGGCCTAGTAATAATAAGGTATATCAACTTTCCAAGTAATTTTTGAAACTCAATGATATTTTTTAACAAGTGATCATTTGTATCAAAACTTCTTTTAGGAACAAAATTTTTTTCTAAAGGAGTTAAAGCAGGTTTGCAACTTAACATACCAAATTCATGCAAAAGTTCAAGATAGAATTTTTTTTGATTTAAACAAATTCCTTTATCTACATTTAGAACTTCAATACCAAGAAAATAACTCAACTTTCCTAAATCTTTTATCAAAACTCTTGAGTTTAAAAAAAACTTTACACATTGAAGTTTAACTTCATTATTACCTGTCAAGATTGTGTCATACACATAAACCAAAAGAACAACAATAAAGTTATTTATATTCCTAACAAACAAAGAATATGCATTTATACTTTGAGAAAAACCATAACTAAACAATTCAGAGCAAAGTTTTTTTATTCTACTTTCCAAGGGACTGGTTAAGTCCATACAGAGATTTAATTGACTTAAAAACCCTTGTATCTCCTTCAATGTGATAGCCTTGAGGAAGACTCATAAAAACTCCTCAGACAGATCTCCATAAAGGAAATCATTGTTTATGTCAAGTTGATATAAAGGCCACGATCTATTAACAAATAAAGATATAATAACACGAACAGTGACAATTTTGGCCACATGAGAGAATGTTTCTTGATAGTCTATACCTTCTCTCTGGTTATAGCCCTTGGCTACAAGACGAGCTTTGTATCTGTCAACCATTCCATCAAGACTGTATTTAATTCTATATACCCACTTACAACCAATTGGCATTCTGTTTTTAGGTAAATCAACAATGTCCCAAGTGTGATTTCGATACAAAGCTTCTATTTATTTATTCATTGCCTCTATCCAATTCAGATCAGATGAGGCTTCATTAAAATTCTTTGGTTCAACAGTTTTGTTAAGATTAGAAACAAAACACTTATTTTCACTACTAAGAATGAAATATTTAAGAGTACGTTCTATAAAATATCTATGCCTACCTTCCACTATATAATCATTAAATTTGACATGCATACGAGATTCTCTTCTAGACCTGGAAGCCTCTACAGACTGTCCTAAAGAAGGCAAGGAATCATAATGACTACTTTCCTCAATAAAATTTGAAAAACCTAGCATAGTCTCACTAGATGAAGGCACGGATGCCTCGCTAGTTTGATTGTCAACAGGTGTAGTATCAAAAAAGGTTTCATTCAGAGTCTCAAATGCACTAGAACCATCCATCTGGTGGTTAACACTCAGGTCATCAAATTAATAGCATCATTCATATATTCAGAGATGTTTAGATCATCATACGAAAAATATGTCTACATAACTATCACAAACAGACTGTTTATCAACAGGTACTGAATTTAACATAAAAGGAAATACAAATTTGTAAAACTTCACATCCTTGGAAAAAAAAATAGAATTTGTATTAAGACTTAGCAACTTGTAGCCTTTTTTCTCATAAGAATAATCCAATAAAACACACTTTTCAGCTCTTTCATAAAGTTATCATGATTATTAAGTTTAGTAGCAAAGCACATGCTACCAAATACTCTTAAATGTTCAAAAGCAGTAATTTTTTAAAACAAGTTCATATGGAGACAAGCCTTTTAAAACAGAAGTAAGCATTCCATTTATTAAAAAATAGAAGTAAGAACTGATTCTCTCTAGTATTTAACAGGAAGAGCATATTGAAATAACAAAGACCTAGCAACATTTAGAATATGTTTATGTTTCCTTTCAACCACCCTATTTTGTTGTGGTGTGTAGACACAAGAGGTTTGATGCAAAATTCCATTAAGTTCAAAAAAGGACTTCATCTTAAAATTTTAAAACTCAGTTCCATTATCTGAACGAACATTTTTTATTTTTGATTGAAACTGATTTAATAAAATACTAAAGAAAGAAGCAAAACAGTTATAAACTTCATCTTTACTTTTTAAAAGGTAGACCCAAGTAGCTCTTGCGAAATCATCCACAATAGTAAAAAAGAACCTATAGCCTTCCCTAGTAGTCACTCTATAGGGACCCCATACATCTAGGTGAACTAACTCTCCAAGTTTGGAAGAACTATGAACACTAAGAGGA